GTCTGCAAAACTTTAAGACAATACTACGTGAAATTAATCAACTATTGATTTCAAATCAAAAGACACACAATTTATACCCTGTCTTCACTTGTATTCTCTGAAAACATCCACTCAATGTGCAGCAGCAGTCAAAAAAGCAAACAATGTTAGGCATCATTAAAAAAAAGGGATTGCGAATAAGACAAAGAATATCTTTTTGCCTCTGTATAAATCCATGGTTTGCCCACATCTTAAATACTGCAAATGTGGTTGCCTCATCTCAAAAAAGATATCTTGGCACTGGAAAAAGTTCATAAGTGGGCAACAAAATTTATTAGGGGTTTGGAACGGGTGTCACATGAACAGAGATTAAAAAGACTGTGACTTTTCAGTTTAGAAAAGAGGAGACTAACAGTGATATGATAGAGGTCTATAAAGGTCTATAAAATCACGACAGGTTTTTATTTTTATCAAAGTGAATAAGGAAAAGTTATTGTTCCTATAACATAAGAACTAGGGGTCACCAAATGAAATTAATAGGTAGCAGAAAGCAAACAAAAGGAAATATTTCTTCATGCAATGCACAGTCAGCCTGTGGAACTCCTTGCCACAGGATATTGTGAAGAACATTACTCTAACAGCATTCAGAAAGAGGTAGATAAATTAATGGAGCTTAGGTTCCTCGATAGCTATTAGCCAGGATGGGCAGGAATGATGTCCCTAGCTTTTGCTTGTCAGAGCCTGGGAATGGGTTCCAGGGAAGGGATCACTTGATGATTATCTGTTCTGCTCATTCCCTCTGAGGCACCTGGCATTGAGCACTGTCAGAGGACAGAACAGTGGGCAAGATGGACCTTTGGTCTGGTCCATTTTGGCCATTCTTACATTCTAATGTTGTATGTGATACTACTTTGAAAACGGGAATCTTTAAGAGTTTCAAGAGTAGGGCTAGTTGAGTTTCTTTTTGCTGCTCTTGTTCTACTACATATAGTGTATTATTAGAGTAGAGGACAGTTGCTATGAAAGCCTCATGCACTGACTTGCATGAACACATCTTATGTGTGAGTAATACACAATGCCATATACATCTTGAGAGGCTGCTTTTCAGATGTCAATTTTCCATGGTACAGTGTTATGCTAGGAGATTTCCAATGCCTTTTAGTGATGATTTACAGTGCTGCAACTGCACACCAGAGAGTCCCTAATTTATTGCAGCTTTACTGATTAACTGTGTGATGCCAGGAGCTTAGAACTGAAATTCCACTTTCAGTAATTGAGGTACCCACAGTTGTTCTAAGCAAAAGACTCTAGAGTAGTTTATATAGCAGGGGTGCTGAGAGCCATTGAATCAACCAGTAAATCCTGTATATAATGAAAGGAAATAAAAGAAAGTTCTTCACACAGCGTGTAGTCAACCTGTGGAACTCCTTGCCAGAAGAGGCTGTGAAGGCTAGGACTATAATAGAGTTTAAAGAGAAGCTAGATAATTTCATGGAGGTTAGGTCCATAAAAGGCTATTAGCCAGGGGATAAAATGGTGTCCTTGGCCTCTGTCTGTCAGAGGTCTGGGGGGCCCCTGGTGCTGGCCACTGTCGGTAGACAGGATAGTGGGCTAGATGGACCTTTGCTCTGACCCAGTACGGCCGTTCTTATGTTCTTATAATGGAAACTGCTTCAATTTAGGGTGTGTGGCACCCTAATTCCAGCACTTATGCAAATTAGAATTAGGGAATTGAGCGGGAGGGCAGGTTTTCAGATGCACATCAGATTGGAACATTTGTAACCCTTAGTTGGAAAGGGAGCTTTTTCTAAAGTGAGAGACAAGACAGGCTTTTCACACATGAACAAGAGCACTGAACACTCACATGGAATAGGATAGGATTCTTAATCTAAGTGCTTGGACCATTACTTTGTTTTGCTAAATGTAGACCATTATTACATTAACAAGACAAGCTGTCAATTTTCATTGTTCAGTCATTTTGCTTTTATTTCCTATGCCTTTTTCCACATTTACGTACTGTGTTTTAATTTAAATAAATGTTATGTTTTGTCATACTAACTTACCAAATTAAATGTAATCAAGAATGGGAAGGGGAGCAGGCCAGAGTTCCCAATTTATTCTCATTTTAATTATTCATTCTCCTCTGGTTCAGGGCTTGAAGTCCAGAGTCAATCCTTAAAATGTGGTTCTCTGGCCTGAAATCCAAAGTTTTTTTTTCCTGAGTGGAGTGCACAAAGTTTGCTAATCAACGTAGCACTCAAGAACCTCTTAAAATACCCCAGATAGATGGTTTAATCCAAAGAGAATGTGGCTGCATGAGATGTACTCTTATTGAACACGCCATAATATTCTGGCATTGTAGCTCTATAGCTTTTTGCTTCCAAAATAAATAAATGTAACATCGGATACTAATGGATTTGTTTTTCAGCACACACTAAATAAATCTAAAAGTGAAGTCTAGTGAGTAGTTGAATCAATAATTTTGTGTAGGTTACATTTATTAGATTTACCGGTAATTGTTAGCTTTGGGTGGTCTGTTTTCCTAAGATGACTGCAGGATGGGGGGAAGGGGGTGTTAAACTGTATTATGAAGCCCTTTGTGCAACTTTCACAAGTAGGGCTCTATACACAAATGAAGTCAAATTCATGAAAAGCCTAGTGTTGGATCATGTGCTATTTCCCTGGGGGAAAAACAAGCATTTAAAATAAATATGACAGTGTACAATGTATTCATACACCATATTGTGACAGATGTTTAACTTATTATATTACCCTTTTGTTGTTTTAAAAAAAAAAAGTTTAACAGAAATAGGGAACCACCCAGCAATGCATGTTCTGTCTCACACAGGTAGCATTATTTTAGATTACAGAGAACACACAGTTTTGTACGTTAATTGGATTGAAAAGGCAAATGGTAATTTAAAATATTTTTTGAAGAAAATATTTATTTCAGAAAAATCCTTTCAATTCTATGAAGTCATTTGGTATTCAGTGATTGCAAGAGGTCTTGCAAACAAACTAGCAGGAACCTTCAGCACACCAGTCAGGAATTTGATGTGGATTTCACTAGTATGATTAGAGGTTTTTGAAGTTGTCTTTCTTCCTGAGTCCCCACCCCTTCTTTCAAAATCCTTCAAAAAACATACACTTTACACACTATTTTTTTCCATTCATTTTTATAGAATTGTGGGCATTGTGCTAGCTAACTCTTGTCCTTTAGCTAAGTCAGAGCTAGAAAGTTTTTGTGTTTTCCAAGAGTGAAAAGGCATTAATTGATTTGTATTCTTCATCACTTAAACTCATTTATTTTGTATCTAGTTTGTGGAGAAATGAGATTGCTGTATGTTAAGCAAAAGATGTTACTAAAAATGTTTTCTGGGTTAGTTGACTTGTTTTGTAACAGGAAATTGAAGTTTATGGTACAAATACTGTACAACCGTATGTATGTTGGGCAATTCAGGGAATAACTTTATATGTTTATTTAAACTTTAAAGTAAACAAATAAGAGTCGAGGGGTAGGATGGGTGAAATAGGTACAGCTCTTATTTTAAATATAGAAAAGGTAATGTGCTCACAAGCTGAAAACTCCTTTAACTCTGATTTTAGAAATTTCCGGCTGGGTACGAGTATTTTGAATTCTTTGCCATTAATTATTGGATGTCCCTATGCAGAACACTAAACTACTGGCTGAAATTAAATGAACTACTTCAGACAGATTTGTTCCAATACTCTTTATGTTCAGCTTATTCTTCTCAATTCAAATTATGGGTAAAACCTAATCCCAAAATACTGTGTCATTCTTAAAAACCTGAACATTTTTTCCTTGAGTGAATGAATAACCAACGAAGTACTGCAATGTGAGGGAATCTTAATTAGTTCGTAAAGAACTTTTGTTTTGAAATGGTACCAATTGCTGTAAGAAACGTCAAAGAATTGCATCTCGTATGCCTTCTTCCTTTCTTACAGTTTCTGGCAAAAGAAAGTAGTTCCTTTAATTGCCAGAAGTACAGCCTTTCTTTCTGGATCACCAAGAACGCAGGGAGAATCCATTTAGTGGGCTGTTCTTTGTGCCTTAGAAAGTTAGCTATCATGGATTTGGAATGTAGTTATTGAAAGCAAGCACTGCATTTGCTGTTACTTCCCTTAACAGTGGCCTCACTTTATTTTCACATAATTGAATCACTCTTGAAAAGAGTATAGATAAAGCTAGCTCTTAGTAGTCTTTCAGTGTATTATTAGTATGTGGTAGCCCTGAAAGACAAAATGTGAATAATTTTTACTTTTATTTTGCTTATTCAAAAGATTGTAGTGAACCAGTAAAGCTGGTGAATGCTGTCTTGCAAAAAGATGCATCCAAGTAATACTGTGATTTTAAGTAAAGGGCTCATGTAAACTTCCAAACTGTAGGATATTTTATTGAACCTGTAGGGATTTACAGTAACTTTCATATCTGCTTAATCTGACTTCATTTAGAAGATATTAAAGGCAGGCTTCCTGATTTTGAATACAATAGTTCTTTCAAAGAGCAGACATGAAAGAAATATAGAGGTTTTTGTCTTGAAAAATTTTGTTCAAAAGCATACAATTCTTTGTACACATGTTCAGTCAGTATGAGAAAAAGTTATAAAACTTCCGACTATGTACAAAGTAAAGTAAAAATAAAATAATCTTCATGTTCTTTAAAAGTTCATTCCCTAATACTGTAAAATGTCACTAAACCATTTTTACCAAACATCATTTTTTTGGTTTCAGAGTAAGAATTTAGAAAATACAACTTTATTTACATATTTTATGGATGCAAGAGTAATTTTGTAACCGTTATATTTGTTTACCTATTTAATAAGCATTACACAGTTCATAACTAAATTTACAGATATTGTAATTACTTTCATAACAAAACAAAGCTGTTACCAAAAGATTGGCTTTATAATCAGTCTCTGTGCACTGGAAATTATTTCATACATGTGAAAACATCTGTATATTTTAAATGTAAACCAGCTGTACTATGATAACATTCTTACCCTGTTTCCTTTGCCTTTGGCTTCTTTCTTCAGTCTTTAATGTGCTTTTTATCAAAGATTAACTGAACAGTTTATCCATGGAAACTGACATTTCACTTAGCTGACTGTATCAGAAGTATGTCTGTAGTGAAGGATTCCTCCGCTGAAAAGTTCTCTATATTTGATACTATAATTATAAAAGTTAATGCCTTGAGGCTCTGATAATCTTGTTTTCCTTATTGTTTAAGCTGTTTTTGTTGATAGAAGAATAGCTCAGTTGTTGAATCTTAGCTGCACATCCTCATGCCATAGGCACGGACAGACAATAGCCTGCAGTAGTAACTTTATTTTGATGAAAGAACAGAACTCTGACATTTCAGTTCCAGAGTTTTAAATCTATCTTTTCATGCAAGGCTAAAGCAGCCTTATTTGAACTTCAGCTTCTTTGTGGTGGATTTACATGCTGGAGTTTAAAAAAAAAAAAAAAAAAAAAAAAACTGTTGAGCATGCAGCAAGTAGACATGTTCTGGTTGGATAAGCCTTTTTCCTCCTCCCACAAGTACAAGGGATCCACCAGCAATAGACACGTTCAGGGCCTCCCCCTAACCACAAACAGCAGAGGTCTGGCTGAAACCAAACTTTGATTCAGTGATGTCACAGCTCACAGCCATCCAAAGTAATCTGGCGTGCAGGAGGCTGCCTCCCTAGGCTTTGGCAGGGCCCATTAGCAACAATTTCCTCTGGACAGCTGAGCTGAAAAACTAGCAGTTACTTATGAAGATATCAACAGTTTGTAAAGGATTTTGTTTGGGAAAAGCCAGTCTTCTACTCTTGGGACTATGTGATATGTTTATTTTAGCTATATTTTCTGTAGTATATTTTAATTAGTATATGTTAGTAAAGATTGCTTCAATTATTGTGAGCCATTTATCCAAAGTATTTAAAAACATGTAGAAACCAGACCCCATTAGATTTTTGGCATTACTAATTAATAATATAAATCTAAAAATGAGTTCTCTATGTATACAATTCCAAGCTGTAACCCTGGAGTTCAGAGAGAAATTCTGAAGTCTCCTGTGTGTTTAAGAAGTATGATCTGTGTATTTATTTTTGTTCAGACAAGGTGTTAGACTCTGTATCTATGCAGAATTAAACTGCAAACTGTCTTATAGGGGGTTTCAGTGTCTTTCCTTGTCAGTGTACTTTTTATAATACAAATGTTGATGTGGAGTATCTTTTAACACAAGCAATTTTCACTGCAGCCTCTTAATTATTCTAGGTTTTCCCTCAGCTAACATCTATTTTATTTTCCTTCTGGCTAAAAAGGAGAGCATTTGTACTACTATGGACCAACATAAATAATAACTAAAAAGACTAGTTTAATGAAACTAACGAGGGGTACCTGAACTCTTCTAATTCTACCACCTTCCTCACTTTATGGCCTTTGACTCTGGAAACACAACTCAGAGCCTTCAATTTGCTATGACAGTTCCAGGTGAAGACAGGAATCAAATTATCCAAACTCAAGCAATTTCTCCAGATATTCTAATACTGTTTAAGAAAATATCACGTCGATGTAACTTGGCTGAAACCCAATTTTTTTACGTTTGCCTGCAAATGATACTGATTGGTATTCCAGAGCTCTTACTTATTCACTGTTCATTCTTAAAGATTTCTTCCCAATTGATTACATTCTTAAAAATCTGCCATTGTATTTCCATGTGAAGTGTGTACTTGTGATTGAATCCCTGGGATACAGCCAGGGATTGAGGGACTGCTGTGTCCCCATAACTCCCCAGCCCTCCCACAATGATTTGCTAGTGACAACAGCAAACCCCTCTAGGTGCTGTTAACATTCAGCACAATCACATGTGGAACTTCATACCCAGCTATGTTGCATGAATGCTTCTAGAGCCACTCAGGAATCACTTAGGCTGTGTCTAGACTGGCAAGTTTTTCCACAAAATCATCTGCTTTTGCAGAAAAACTTGCCTTGTTTACACTTACCTTGTCTACACTGGCCAATTGAATTTCTGGAAAAGCACTGACGATCTCATGTAAGATCGTCAGTGCTTTTCCGGAAATACTGTGCTGCTCCCGTTCGGGCAAAAGTCTTCAGTGTAGACAGCACGGTACTGTTTTCCGCAAAAAAGCCCCGATCACGAAAATGGCGATCGGGGCTTTTTTGCGGAAAACCGCGTCTGGATTGGCCACGGACGCTTTTCCGCAAAAAGTGCTTTTGCGGAAAAGTATCCTGCCAATCTAGACGTGCTTTTCCGAAAATGCTTTTAACGGAAAAGTTTTCCGTTAAAAGTATTTTCGGAAAATCATGCCAGTGTAGATGTAGCCAGAGAGAAAAGCACCATCCAAATTCCCCCAATTTCCCAGAAATGGTATATTCCCAGTGCCTCAGGAATATACCATTTTGCATTGCTCAAGATGAGCAGTACAAATTTATTAATTGGCTCATCACTTCATCAATTGAAAGTGGATATATACCAGCCTTTGTAAACTTGAGCAATTTACAAGATACTTTAGACAAACTCACTGGTAAAGATAAACCGTTAAACAAATTTGACTACAAAAGATTTTAAGTGACTATAAAGTGAAATTAGTTATTGATATTAAATATAAGCACACAGTCTAAACTCTCAACTCTAAGAACAGCCATATTCGGTCAGACCAAGGGTCCATCCAGCCTAGTATCCTGTCTGCCAACAGTGGCCAATGCCAGATGCCACAGAGGGAGCGAACACAACAAGTAATCTTCACGCGATTCCCTCCCCTGTCAACCATCTCCAGAGAAAGAGAGGCTAGGGACACCATTCCTACCTATGAGAATGGGCAGTATTAAGCAGTTTTTTTCTCACCCCATTGGATATTGCAATTCATAGTACAGGCAGTCCCCGGGTTATGTGGATCCGACTTACGTCGGATCCCTACTTACAAATGGGGTGAGGCAACCCCGCACTAGCTGCGCCCCCCCCCCCAGCAGACCGCCGAGAACTGTAGGTTTGTTCTTAAGTTGAATTTGTATGTAAGTCGGAACTGGTACATATTGTAGGGGAAACTCTAGCCAAACATTTCTCCAGAGCTCAGTTTTATTCTCCCACACCTCACTTCCCTCAGTCCTTTATTCTCAAGCTGAGGTGTCTGCTGAGAAAAGCCGCTCCGTGTCTCCTTGGTCTGCTGGGGGGGGGGGGGCGCTAGCTCCGTGTCTCCCTGGTCTGCTGGGGGAGGGTCTCTGGCTCCGTGTCTCCCTGGTCTGCTGGGGGGAAGCGCCCCCCGCGCTGCGGGAGGCGGCGACAGTGGGGGAGGCACCCCGCCCTGCCAGCTTTGGGTCCATTGGCCCCGCGGACACCCCTGGGCAGCTCCAACACCCCCCGCTGTCGTCTGGAAGGAGGGTCTTGAGAATAAAGCTTGAGAATAAAGGACTGAGGGAAGTGAGGTGTGGGAGAATAAAACTGAGCTCTGGAGAAATGTTTGCCTAGAGTTTCCCCTACAATATGTACCAGTTCCAACTTACATACAAATTCAACTTAAGAACAAACCTACAGTCCCTATCTTGTTCGTAACCTGGGGACTGCCTGTATACAATTTTCACTCTTGAAACCTTGGCCAGTCCCCACTGTTGAAGTCTTCAGTCTTCTGAGCATTCTTGTTGCTTGCAGCAAAGATGGGAGAGGGAAAATGGCCAAGCATGGGGCCCTGTGTTCTGTTTTATATGGTTAGTCTACTTGGTTGGAAGAACACAAGTCCAAGCATGTCTGGTGAGCATTGCTAAGTCCCCAGGGAAGACTGATGAACTGTCCCAGTGTGTGGCCTTATGGAGCTGAGTCATTGAATTGTAATTCGTTGGCTGGAAAATACCTGTTGATGGTTGTTTGACACCCATTCTGACAGTAGTTACTTTATTTGGTGATTCTCTAGAAAGTTAATATCTGGTTGATTCATCAATTTGCAGCGTGTTTTTCGAACAGGTATGTAACACAATCTCATAACTTCATATGCACTAAAGTTATAAACATTTAGATAGAACCATGATTCATCAAATCATAACCTTTCCCCTGATACCTTACCTGGCATGCTTTATAGGCATAGCACAATCTACTATATGAGAGAGTTTGTCTGTCTGTGCATCTGTGTGTTTGTCTATTCAAGAATTCTTCCTAAATGATAAAAGGTAGGGTCACCAAATTCGGTGTACAGCTTCCACTTATCATAACTTCAAGCACGTAAGGGTTTGGATATGCCTGGAATAGGATTGCTTCACATAAAAACATACAGAAGGATAGAAAGCTGGCTAGTTATTGGGCTCAATGGGTCCATGTATGATTAGCAGCCAGTATCAAGCAGAGTGTCCCAAAGGTCGGTTCTAGGGTCAATTTTGTTCAACATCTTGATTAATAATCTGGATGAGGGGATGGATTACACCCTTAGCAAGTTTGCAGATGACACTAAGCTAGGGAGAGAGGTAGATATATAGGAGGATGGAGATAGGGTCCCAGACAAATTGGAGGATTGAATTCCAAAAGAAATCTGATTAGCTTCAATATCCCTCACACAGAATTGGGAGACAGGAGTGCTTAGGCCCCTACTGATCTCAAGGGCAGAGGAAAATCCGAAAGTTGGTCCTGGAGATGACAGTGGATGAGAAGCTGGATACGAGTCAATGGTGTGCATTTGTAGCTAAGAAGGCTAATGGCATCTTGGGCTGCATTAGGAGGAGCATTGCCAGCAGATCTAGAGAAGTGACTATTTCCTTTTATTCAACTCTGGTGAGGCCACATCAGGAGTATTGCATCTAATTCTGGGGCCCCCATTACAGAAACGCTGTGGATGCATTGGAGAAAGTCCAGCAGAAGACAACACAAATCATTAGGGAGCTGGAGCACATGACCTATGTGGAAGGGCTTGTTTAGTCTACAGAATAGTGAAGGGGGGATTTGATAGCCTGAAGGGAGGTTCCAAATAGGATGGTGAGAGGCTGTTCTCACTAGTGACAGATGGCAGAATGAGGAGCAATGGTCTCAAGTTGCAGTGGGGGAGGTCTAGGTTGGATATTAGGAAAAACTATTTCTCTAGGAGGGTGGTGAAGCACTGGAAGGGATTCCTTAGGGAGGGGTGGAATCTCCATCTCTAGGGGTTTTTAAGTCCCAGCTTGACAAAACCCCGGCTGGTATGATTTAGTTGGGTCTGGTCCTGCTTTGGGCAGAGGGTTGAACTTGATGACCTGCTGAAGTCTCTTCCAGCCCCGGGATTCTGTGATGAGACAGAACCACCAGGCAGGAAAAAATGAGGGGTTTAGTGTGTGGGACAGAGCTCCCAGTGAAAGGGATAGGGATGGGGGTGCAAGAGAAGGCTGGAAGAAAGGTGTCTGGCCAGGGGAGGCGGGCAGGAGCAGGCTTTGGGTTAAGTGTCTGAGTACGGGGGAGAGTGCAGGAGCAGGCTGGGGGTAGGGTCTCTGGCTGGGGGGAAGAG